CACACACACAAACACACTCTCTGCTTCTGAGTGAGCGTTGGGGGAATTCCCGCTAACCTGCATGTGTACAGGTGATTTGCGTATATTCACTAATCTGGGGGGGTTTAGCTTTAACTGTAAATCCGCCAACACCTGGACAGATGTATAAACACAAAGACCCTTGCTCATCAGCAACTGATGGTGGGCCTGATAAGATGCAACGCAATCATCTTAATTGCTTCGGAGCTGACACACTCATGAGTGTGTGTAGGTTTCTGAATCAGTTTTACAAGTCACCTGCAACACGGAGACCGTTGAATGTCATGAGTGACTCAGAGACGCTTTTTTTTGTTGTTTTTTAATTTCCCTCACACACCCATATGGACATTATCACACATGCCCAGCAACAAGCAATGAATACACGTTGATTGAGGTCAACTACAGAATTGTTTGTTTTGCGCAGCTTGTGGACAGAAAGTTACTGAACAATAACTTTTGTCTCTTTCCAGTTGCCCCTACAAGCCAGACATTCCTTAAACTAGTTAATAATTGAAGATGCCACTGTCTGTTCATTAATATGTTAATTATTTTTGAGTTTCTGGATACCCAACCCTTTCAAGGACACAAACCAAGAAAGTGAAACTCTGCGTTGGTGTGTTTATAGGTGCATTTCAGACTGCAAGCGTCCAGAGCCTGTCTGGCCTTATCACCTTGTGCGAATACTCCAGGTGTGAGCAGAGCAATAGGAATCCTAACCGTCGTCTATCTGACTGAAAGCCCAGGGTTTTTCCAAACACGTTTATCAAGTCTCCCTTATTCACCTCCTGGTGTTTTCTTAAAGAGGTCTTTTGGGTATTTTATTTTGAAAAAATAAAAATGAAAAAATTCTAAAATTTAAAAATAAAATGTGTAGTTAAATACATTTTTAAGTCAAAAAGTAAAAAAAAAAAAAAATCAGCTAGGAGACCGAGAACCTTTTACAACATGAAGAAAACACTCAAATGTTTCCTCATTGCCTATGTGTTTTATTGTGACAGTGGACGTTAAAAACAATGTTACACGTCATTTTTGGGGAATCTGGGGGCCAGTTAGAGGAACATTATCTCTGTAACCCATAAACATAATTTATCATCTCAAGCACCTGTAGAATGAAATATTTCCCTGAAAAAAGTTTTGTGAGCTCAGTTCATCCATTAAAAAAAAAAAATAAATAAAAAAAAAGGAAAAACGTTAAGTCAGGAAGATTGTTGGAGCATTCCTAGAACAGAATTACGAATGCTGCCACAATGATATTGCTCATTACTTTAATTGTTGATGAATGCGATTGAAGATTGAAGTTTGCCGTCATCTTTATCTTCTTTTCACAAGAAGAAATGAATATGATGTTCTCACACAAATTGAGGTGAAACTTAAAAAAGAAAAAAAACTCTTAGATCTTGTATGTTCTTCAAATGTAGTAAAATACCTTTCAAAACCTAAATAGTTATAGATTTATGTTTGGACACAAGACCTAATTTTGCAACCTCAGAAATGTTTTTTTTTTTTTTAATCTTTAAAATTGATGGATTTATCATAGAGATTATATAAAAATAACAAAGCTGCTGTTATGTCCGTGCCACAGTCTTGACAGCGTCAGCTCATAAAAACAAATTATGATCCTGATTGCAGCGTGATGCAGGGTGGGTTAATAATAAACCTAATAAAAAGGTGGCTGTTTATTTTTTGTGTGACGCTTTTATTAGTGCTAAATAATCTCCTGCCGCAGGGACAAACCTGAAACATGTTGCATGCAACTTATACATTGTTTGCATGCATGCACACCCTATCCCTGAGGGTTAAAACAGTTGTACTTGCTCTTCTGTACATTAGGTGTGAGCATTTTCACTTGTTCCTGGATCATTTTGACTTTAAAACTCATCAGTAGTGAGTTCCAAGGTGCATAGCCTAGTAGTAACCATCCCCTTGCATTACACTGTACTTCGTATTGAGGGTCTGGCCTCTCAGCTGTTGAGAAATTCATCAGTGTGGATTGTGTTGAGGTTTTAAATTGTACCCAATCGCTTTGCCAGGTAAAAAAAAATAAAATAAAAAAAATCTACCAGAGATAATCTGAGTCAAGGGGAGAAAGCCCAGATTGTGACGGAAGCACAGGAAGGCAATGGTCAGGCTACACAAAGTGATAAATGAGAAAAAAATATATTACAAAATTAGCATAATCAATAACCAGAAGCTAAGTTTACGCAGCTACCGATCGGGGATAAACCATCATGAACATCAGCGGTGTTCTTTGAGTAAAAAAAAAGGACCAATATTTATGTTCGGGGTTTGAACAGCTTAAGATAAGAGCAAGCACATAGCTACACTTTTGGTCAGAAGTATATATCCACTAACCTTGAGCATGAATCTAATTTATTTTGTGCTCTAGCTGATTTATTTGAAGTAATGCATTCTGCACAGGATTCAAACTGAACAAAAAAAAAGTCATATAATCCATTTTGAGAATTGTTACCAAGCAAGCCTTGACAATAGCTTGTGGCATATTTGTAATATTTGAATACTATCTTCATTCGAAATGTCACATTTCATTACAATTATTTGGTCTAAATTCATAGACCTGGATTTTATGCACACTACTTAAAATGAATGCAAAGAATCGGTGAATATGTTTGACACTAACCTTCCAGAAGCAGCTTTCACATGTGACAGGATTGTTCAGTAATAGAGAGCTTGTGGCATTCCTCTCTTTGGAAGAAAGCAATCCAGAAAATCCTATTGAAAATTTATGGACTATGCTTGAAACCCAGATTTGTGTCAATAAAAGCAACCAATCTGAATGATTTCTACTACCTCTGCCAAAAGATACCGAGGCAAGTATATTGAATTTTACCAGAATCCTGTTGATACCTACAAAAGACATGTGGTTGAGGGGCAACTTGCTGGAAAACATTTAACCAAATATGGATGTATGGAAATATTTGAGCTTGTCTGTGCAATTTTATCGCTGCAACAGTTTTAAGACATGTTTGCACAGCTTTGTTCACTTTGTCTTACTTGACCTCTGCCATCTTTGCTCTGTGTATATCCATGCAGCAATATTTTGGTATATTTGAGTTGAAGTTATTAAACCCGTTCCTGCAAACACAGTGCCAGTTTTTATTATGACGAGATAATGCTGCAGGTGTAAAACATAAATGTAATATATTACATGTCATATAATGTCTTACCAATGAGGTCAATTGTCCTGAACTTGGGTTCATTATGACCACGAATTCATCAGTCAGTAGCATTTTAATGATATTTTTCCCTGATTTATTTTATTTGTTCTGGGTTAATCTGTCAACATTTACTCCCTGTGTCCCAGAAAGTGCTTCATGCATGTATTCTGGTTTATATAATTTCCTGATCCCTCTTGTTTCCAGCTGAGGCTTGCAGGTTCATTTTACCGTACTTTTTTTTTATTTTTAGATTGTTTTCGGAATCCCGCATGAATACCAGGTATTCAGCCCACATGGAAGATACCAGGAAATTAAGTCTTGTCTGGCTGAATTGAATGATGTGTTTGTAATGTTTTCACTGAGAATAATGCACTCTTTGAAATCAAGGTAAAAAAAAAAAAAAAGTTAGCTATCACAGTTAGCGCATTGAAATTTCAATCTAAAGTAATTTGCTTAAGGATCTTTGTATTGATATTCTTGCAAAACACGAGAAGCAAGTAAAATCCACTGGCGTCTTCATTTGTCATAAATCCAGATTAGCTCGGTCCAAAAGCTCAAGTGGGCCCAAATACAGAATTACCATCCTCAAACACATCCAAGTTTAAAACTGCAATAATGGTTCATGTTAACAGTGTCTGTGACTCTTAAAGAGACACTTTAACACTGCAGGAAAAATAACAACTAGGTGCAACCTTTTAACAGAACTGGTGAAAGACAATCTGGAACAATCTGTTTGGGTGAGATTATTAGCATAATGGAGCACTAATCTGTAATGATTTAAAAAAATAAATAAATAAATAATAAAATACCATGGAGTCTATTACAAAATACAGGAATCGTTTGTCCTCTGGTAGTCTTCTCCTGACCCAACAGGTTACTTCAGTTTGTTGTGCTAACAAACTTGTTGTTACAGTAAAGGGGAAAAAAAAATAAAATAACATAGCTGGGGGAATCCCTCAACACGGACAGCCCACAAGGGAAAAAAAAATAAAAATGTTACGCTGCCGTTTTTTTGTAGTGGAATCTACGCCTGTTAACACACACGCACACGCACACACACACATGCGCGTGCACACGCAAGCACACACTCCGGCATAACATTAAAAAGGGAACAAACCTAATAGAAAGACACAATGAGGCATACATGCAGTGTAACCTGTGCATGACATCATGTCATGCATCAACCTGTGATGCAATGCTGGTGTCTGTTTGCTTCCCTCCAGTAGTTTACTGATCTCGTTCTGTTTGACAGATGTAGGTTTGTAGAACTGAGCAGAGGGGTCAATAAGGTGTCCCCAGATGGCCTCTAAAGCAACTATGCAGCTGTCAGCGTAGCAAATAAATTTCTAAAGAAAATGTTTTCTCCTTAGATTTTGCTCACGTATAATCTTTTATACCATTTTTGTGATAACAGCCCTGCTATGTCGAATAATGTCCAAACTGCTGCATATTTAATCAGTGAATACTTACTTTTAGCTGATTGTATGGGGGTTATAAATGCTAACACCTTAAAGTTCTTTAGTGACATCTGATTAAACAGATATGTCTCTTTCTCATGTTCTTTTTCTCATATATAACACACCAATATATCATCATAAAACAAAGTGTGGCCATGTTGGCAACTACAGCAGATTTCCCTTACAAACATTTCCTTGTTGTCCCAGATATTAAACAACCAGAAGCTAAAATGTATTCAGAAGCAAAGTGAAATTTTTTTTGCCATTAATGTATTTTTTTTTACCATAACAGTTTAATAAATCATTCTTTTTTTTTTTGCTTTTAATCTATTAGTATTTTTTAATATGACATTTTAATACAAATTCTAGATTGCAGCAGACGTGTTGGCCTAACTGTACCATGTATGTCACTCAGTCTACCTGTGTGTCTCCAACAGCACATTGAAGCCAAAAGGAATCTAGAGCCACATAATTTCCCTCCAATGTGACAAATGCAATGATAAGAAACCACAGACATCTCATTGGCTCTGAGTCCCAGGAAATAAAAGTACAAAATAAAAAAACGAGTGGTAAAGACAACATTTATTCTTTATTTCAGATACCGGTGGACCTCATTAAGTTCGAATGTCATCAGACATTAATCTATTTTAAGCGAAAGCATAGCTTCATTACGAGATGAATTTAAACCTTGAGATTGAAACGCATATTTTTCTACTATACTCTACTTTTCTTAAGAAACAAATTGTAAGTTTTGTAGTCACTTGAAATGTCTCATTCTCTACACCGGTGTTGATTAATTTTTTTTGCCTTTGGAGTTTTAGTTTTAACTAAATAACTAATGGACTCTTTTAATGTGGTATTAAAAGTTATACTGAGAGCTGAATAGAGTGGACTTTGACAAAACAAGCCGAGGTTTGCACATGTCCACTGACGCAGCTTGAGTCTTTAGACTAGACCCTTCCACCTGGAGGTGGCAGTCTGAGAGCAGAAGATTGTTTGTGATCAGATGTTCAAGTTTAGTTTGAAATTACAGGTCAAAACTTCACAACTTGAACAAAAAGTATCTTATGCCATAGGTCTGTTTTGAAAATGAACAACTTCAATATTTTCCTCTTTTAAAACTTAAAGGTTTGGAGCTAGTTGTTGATTTTGGTCAAGTTGTTTTCAGTGACATTGCTCAGAGAGCTAATTTCTATCATGCAACTCTTAGAAGGTGTAAACTTAAATTATTTATCTAAATGTAGAATTTGTTCACAGCCAGCAACTTTATTTGATACAATTACAAGTCCAGTGTTTAATTTTAAAAGAGTCTTGTTAACTTTTTGTTATGTTGACTTTTCTTTCTACTGTGTCCAAAGTTTTTATTTATTTACTTATTTATTGCTAAGTTAAACTAACTTCATTAACTTAAGCCCTGAACAGTTAGGAGAACAATTGATTTCAAATATCCCTGACATTTACAAGTTTTTAGAAACAACTCAAAATGTACAGCGTACTAAAGCTTAAAAAAAAAGAAGTAAAATAGCGACATAAAACAAAACAAGTCCACTTTGCCTACAACCAACAAACCAACAAGTCACACCTTTGCATCAGATACAGGCGCATAGTAAACTTTTTTTTATTGAACATCGGTGTGGGGGAAAAAAATTCTCTTATTAGATCAGCAGATATCCAGAAATACCCTGGTTCTGCAAACCGCTCCCACCTCTGCACTCGCTGGCCAATGGGAAGGGGAAGCAGGGTGTGTGCACATGCCATAAAAGAGAGATGATGCCCAGGTGGTGGAGCATTGTACAGGTGAGCACTCCAATTCTCATGTCGCCACTCTTCACTGCCTGAGGATACTACTTCACGGCACCAGACACAGGACCTGACAAAGGTGCAGCTACACTTTTGCCATTTTATTTATGCATTTCTTGTGTTTTGCTGTCATATGATTGTGTCTGTGAAAGCATCTTTCACTTCCCTTTTTATGTTTTTTTTTTTCTTTGATTCTGTTGTCTAATAAGAGTTTTATTTCTTTGTTTTAGTTTGCCCTTAAAGCATGCTGACGGAGTTAGAGACGGTGAGTTCAATGCCGCCTTTTTTGCTGTTGTTGTGTTTTAAATATAGTTTGAGTTTTATGTAAGATTTGATCTTTCTCACTGGGGGTTATTTCTAGGACATCAGTGGTGCCTGGATGTTATCTATGCAGATGAAAACATAAACACTTGCATAAATTTGCCAGTCAAACTAAAATACACATAATCCCAGAGCTAGTAACTGGCTCTTTTCCAGGACCCAAACCTTAGCTGGACACAACATGCAACATTGGATCTAGTTTGGATTTTCATAATGTTGAGTAAAATTGATCAAAATAAGAAGTTTGTCTTTTGCTGAGAAAGCAGGATATTGACACCTTCCAGAAATAAAGCCAAAAGTCATTTTTTGCCAAATGTGATTTTTATTTATTTTTTTGCCTAAGACACCTTTGACAAAATCACTTTTCGAAAAAAAAAAAAAAAAAAAAAGAAAAAAAAATGCACCTAGGCCATTATTTTTTGAAAGTTGATGGCATGGAAAATTATTTGTGGAAAACAGTGAGGTCATTTAAAATTCATGAGATACTGACAAAAGCTTTGAAACAACTAAAATAATGTAAGGTGTTTAATACCTGAGGCTAAAACTAACGAAAGACCAGCTCCACACGTCATGTCTAAAATCGTCTGTCCTGCTGTGCGGCTTTCAGAGGGCTTACGTGCCCGAGGTGAAGCTGGGTGGATGTCGGGGTTCCTGGAGTGGGGTGGCCCCGTCGTCCTGCGCTGAGGTCGACCTCGAGGTCATCGAGGAGTACCTGCAGGAGCATTCGCTCGAGGTCCAACCCGCTCACACACCTTCAACGTCCATGGCTGCTAACATGGGCCACCAGACGCACGTTCACTCCCACCGGGACGCCAGGATCATAGGTCGGCCGAATGCTGGCAGCAGAGGGGGAATATTTGTCCGTTTGTAAGATGTTCTGCCTGACTGAATCTCGTGCCTTTCTCTCCTCAGAGAACAGCTGGTCGGGTCAGCATCCGTACGAGTGGCGCTACGGCTGCCACACTCCAAACGAGGAATACAAGGAGCCAACCCCACATCCAGCCTGGCAGAGTCCGCAAGACCAGTGGGTGAGTAAACAGTGTTTGACATCTCATCTAACTCCATGAGAAAAGCCAAGCTTATTCAGTTCACACTTCTTCAGTTGGATTTATTTGTCTTGTTTTCATTTTTCGTTCACCCAGGAACACATAGCCTACTACGGGCCTACGAGTATATATATTGATTCAGACTCGCAGTCAAGCAGTTCCCAGTACCAGGATTACCGAGATTCACCATCACCACCCTCCGACAGAGGGGAGAGGAAGGACAGGAGCTTGCCTCTGGCACCGCTATCAGGTAGAACACCTGACAGTGACCACCTCTCAGAACAGAAGCTCGTGACGGAGTGTCTTTGTCCAACTACGCACACAAGATGTGGTCAGGTCAAAACCGTTTTTTTTTTTTTTCTCCGCTTCCTCTTCAACAGGAAAGAGGAAGGAGCGCCTGTTCCAGTTCCTGTTTGAGATGCTCCAGACTCCATCAATGAGGAGCTGCATCTGGTGGGTCCAGTCCTCCTCTGGAACCTTTCAGTTCTCCTCCCAGAACAAGGAGAGTCTGGCGCAGCTGTGGGGTCGCCGAAAGGGAAACCGCAAGACCATGACCTACCAGAAGATGGCACGGGCACTAAGGAACTACTCGCGGACTGGAGAGATCCACAAGGTGAAGAGGAAGCTCACGTACCGCTTCGATGAGAAGACACTGAAAGGCTTACAAGGAGACAGCAAATTAGAGTAGCTAGTGTGTCAAAGAGCTCACAACAGAAAATCATTGGACTCACGTGAAATATTTTGTGCAGATTCTAACTATATGGTATTTTGAATGACAAATAAATACTAAGTATTTGAAAGGCCAGAGCATTAACTACTGACAGTCGGGGCTTTGTGTAGGTATAGCAGTGGTGTGTCAGAAGACTGAACAAGAAATGATGAAAGTGATACATGCAAATTTCAGGCTGTGAATGAGAGGTCAGTTGATAAACACCAAGTAAATCTAAAAGATTATGACATATTCTCTACTTTATAAGTAGAATTTAAATCCATCTCTTAATAAAAGTTGTTTTTCCTCTGTTTTGTGATTCTGTGTTGCAGGTATTCATGAAAATATGTGCGTAAACGTGCCGTTTGTGTCAAAATATCTTGTTCAAGATAAAATAAATCGGAAAAAGAGCAGAAAAAAGTTTTTTTTTTTTGTTTGGTTTTTTTTTTGTTGCTCTGTCTACGTACACAAACAAAGTTGCCTTGTGAGGAGCGGCTCGTCGAGATAAACATTAATGTGCTTGAAGCAAGCCCACATACACAGACCTCCTGTACCAGGGCAGACACAGGCATGTGACCGTAGCCAAAATTCTATGCAAAGCAAGCATGGATTAAAAACCGCCACAGCAAACAGACCTGCTAATCAGTAACATCCAAAAAACACCCTCACAACAAAAAAGGCAGACACGCAAACACACACATGCAAACTGAGCAAGGTGTACAGGGCAAGAATTACTGTCATAAAGTTTCCAATAGCAAACTAACTCAGTTTCTTCATAGAGATTTTCAACCATTTTCATGTTTCTTTTAAAAATAAGTGTTGTGACTTTTCTTCTGGTGTTACATCCATGAATTTGCAAACCAAAAGTTGTTTTCTGATCTCGCATTGATGATTGATACAATTTTTAGATAGTCACACTTTGTTATGCTCCAGTTGTCCATATCACCTCACATACTGTATGTGTGTATATATATATATATATATATATTTTTTTTTATTTTTATTTATTTTTTTTTTTTTTTTTGGCCACATATATGGTCCTTCTTCCTGCTGATAGACCAAATGATGGCAGCTTTTTCTGGGTCCTTGTGGGTATTTCTAAGAGTTAACGTTGCCACACACTTTATCATAGACTAATGTGTTATTCCACATATTTATCCTTTGAAGTGTTTGTTGCTGACAACTTTTATTTAAGTCTCATGTGACCCAAAGCACATGATTCCCGATGAAGTCCTGAAGTCCCAGTAGTGTTTTGCACGCTCCACATGTTTATACTTGAGATGGTAAGACAGAAAATATTTAGATGGCCTCTAATGGTTTCCGAGTCGTTTATGTGATTTTTGGATTTTTTTTTTCCCCCTCTCTTCGCTAACATCCTTCTGACTACATGGTGTTAAAAACAGATTGAATATAAGTCACATCAAAATTAAACCCAAGGGAATTCACATTTAATGCAAAACATTTATATAGAAAATGGTTGGTTGTTTTGGACCAAATTGCCAGTTACTGCTAAAATGTGCAAAGTATCTGATTTTATTTAATTTTTTTGATTTTCCAAAGTTTTGGCTTGCTGAGTAAAATTAATCTGTTTTCTAGTTTATGCAGACTGATGTTCATATCTTAGAGTAATTACGATTTCCTATCGTTACCTGAACACCAGGCTGGGACCCACTTTGGATCTCAAACCACCAGGTCGGGTTTCTTGAAATGATTCCCACTCAAATTAAAACAAATTAAAAATGGAGCCAATTGGACATGATGTTAATGTAACGAGGCTTAAAAACAGTTGAAGCAACTAATGAAAATGTACAACTGTGATTGCTTGTCAGTGTGCTCTTGTTTAATTGGTTTAAGTAGTGACAGTTTGGGAACGCAGATCTCTACGTGTCATTTTCTGGTTCAATGGCTGAAAAGTTTGGGAACCACCGATCTAGAAGTCCTCTTCTCTCACGCTCCAGGGATATATTTATCAAAGTTTTGAGGAGGATTTTTGACTTGCTGATGAAATGCAGATGGTGTCTCCATGGAGTGTCAGTCAGCTTTCAAGTGTGCACGCGATCCCATATAAAAGGCCCCTGCTTGCTGTCTTTCGAGCCATTTGCAACCGCAATCTGAACAACAAGGAAGGATTAGGCTGGACTTTTCTTGCTACTGAGTTCATTACGCTCGTGCATGAAATATCTTCAAGGAAACTGTTTGCTGTCAATTTGCAGTGATGGCTGATTGGGCTTGGGTAACTTACACAGTGCTGGAAGTGCTCATTGCTGTGGCATGTTGCCTTGGGAACGTGTTGGTGGTGTGTGCGGTGGCTGTCGGTATCCACAATTGCCTCCGGGAGCCGACTTTCTGCTTCTTGGTGTCCTTGGCTGCTGCAGACTTTTTGGTGGGTGCAGCTGCCGTGCCTCTGGCTGTACTGCTGGACGGCTGGGTGAAGTTGACCTCTCACCAGTGCCTGTTCCTCAGCTGCGTTATACTCGTGCTGACAGAGGCCTCCGTCCTCTCACTGCTGGCTATTGCCATTGACCGATACCTGCGGCTGCACATGCCTTTCAGGTAAAGGCGGCCTCAGTCTCACAACTTTATAAGTTTGCCTGAATAATTGCCTGAATAATTTTCTCATTGTCTCCTTTTATTTCTCTCTCTCTCTTTTTCAGATACAAAGCCATCGTCACTCAGAGGCGCACACTGTTGGCCATGTCCGTCTGTTGGATACTTTCTTTCCTGCTGGGATTCACCCCTCTGCTGGGATGGCACAACCTCTCTGCCGCTGGCACCAACACGTCGTCTGCCTTGCCGAGCTCTTCCCAATGCACCTTCCTCTCAGTTATCACCCTGCCCTTTATGGTTTATTTCAACTTTCTCGGATGTATCATGGCCCCTCTGTTGGTCATGACATTTCTGTACGTCGTCATCTTCTGGAGCCTGCACAAACGTCTGAAGAACAGCTGCCCTCAAGCACAGGCCATGCTGCTCCGGGAGAAGAAGCTGGCCTGCTCGCTTGCTCTGGTTCTCACATTGTTTGCATTCTGCTGGATCCCTCTGCACCTCATGAACTGTCTTCTGCTCTTCCAGGGACCTGAAGCAGTGACCCGGGGAGCACTTTATACAGGTAGGTCAGAGTTGTTCTCTTACTCCTTGCACAGGTGTTAAAATGTCTCCACATGTACAATGAGGTGAGTGCTTACAGCTTCAGACATCAAGTGTCTTGGGGAAATTTACACACAATAATCTAATGTCACATTAATTTTGGGTTTCGTAATTTATTTTACTGGAGCTGTCAGTTACATCGCCAACGACTTTAATCAATTTTAGAAGAACAATATCGTTTCCGCAAGTTAACATTTATTGTGGCTTTTGTGTGATCCACAGAGGCTGCAAATTTATTTCAGCAGGCTTAAACGTATCACCGTTAATTAACATCATCATGTACAGAACATTTCAGCATCAAGGCAACTCAAAGCGCTTTGCATAATAGAAACAAAACTCAATACACTGCAGTGGCAAAATAAAGAGAATTTACAATCCAGCCTAAAACTAAATGAGGCTCCAGTTATTATTATTAATCAAAAGCAACTCTGAACAAATGGGGTTTCAGACTTGCTTTAAAGGAACTCTCAGGATTTTTGCTGTTTTCTGGAAGTTAGTTCCAGATTAGAGGAGCATAAATACTGAATCCTGCTTCTACATGTTTGGTTCTAGCTCTTTACATTTTGGTCTTTTATTATGTTCCACTGAATGTCTTTTAACTTTACAAGGACAGGTCTTAAGTTCCAGTTATTGACCAGGATTGACTGCAGGCCGCAAGTTTCCATTTGCCAGTATAAAAATACAGTATTTGTTTAACAATACTCAACGTAGTTTAAAAAAAAATTGGAAGACAGAATCAACTCAGTAAAGACCTAACAAGGAGATTAGTATTTATATTGGGGAAATCTCTTAGTGTCCATTGATGAGTATAACTCTATGCGAATATGATATTACAGTGTTTCACCGCTTAAATTTTTACACTCAGAAAAAGGGAGCCAAATACCGTCTGAAGGCAAAGATTGAGTTGCTTGACCACAGGGACATATGCAGTGGTGGAGAAAGTACTCAAAAAATGTACTTAAGTAAAAGTACAAGTACACCTCAAGTAAAAGTAAAACTACTACATTAACATTTGTACTTAGGTAAAAGTAAAAAAGTACTGGC